CTAGGCTTTTTACATTGGAGAGGAAAACAGACTTCTTGTATATTGACTTATTTTCAAGTTATTAGAAATGAAACTCTCTGATGGTACATTCCGCTTACTATCTCAAAGCCATTTTGCAATGAGTCATGGTATTAAAAAAAGTAAATGTATAGTTTCCTTCTTTCTGGGGAGCAGAATAAGCTGCCTGTGTGTGGGCCCCCTCAGACTCCAGGCAGTTGTAGGTTGACGGGAAAGCTCCTCTTCCCACATGTCAGTTCTCAGGTAGAAGAGAGGACAGCATTGTGAGCAACAGGGTGTCCGTTTAACTCTGATCATTCATCTCCCTCCCCAGCCATTAATTAGAGGTGTGTTCCCACCTTTGAAGATGTGTTCTGTCAGGGCCAGCCCTCCTCACTGTGCCTGCGTGTTTCGCAGCTGCAAATCAGTTCAGTCCTGGGCCAGCCACAGTGGCTTCCCAAACTTTCCCATGAAATCCAGTTTTATTGGCATTTTCCCCTTTGCTAAGAAAAGGGTTACTATAGGTGCCATCGGGAAAAAAATATGTCAGTCCACATAGGACTAGAATCAGAGGTGGTTTTGCCGAAGACGGTCTGCCAAAATTTTTAATACTGTGTACCGTGTACTCGTCATAACGGATTGACCATGGTCTTCACTCATCAACTCACTGTTTATGCATCGTTGCCCAAACTACCTTTTGAGATTATTTTTTAAAACATTGCCCAAGCTGTTTTCATATGCCCAAATTACCCAGACTGCATTTAAAGATTATTTTTATTGTAGGCACCAAGACTGGGCCAGCACGAAATAAGACCACCACAGATTTAAGTGTGGCTTGGCATGCCACTGTTATCAGGAGCAAGAGCTTCAGGGGAGAAAAATTGCCTCAGAAAGCCTGATTCCAAGCTTCTTGTGTCCTTGGGTGTTTCCCGGAAATGGCAAACTCAGAAATTGCCATGCACTCATCATTTTTTATTGCAAAATTCATTAAGCTGCCGTGCTATTATCATCCTATCTTGTCAAGATGATACATTGCAGACTTCATTGCAAAACTTTAACAAGAAGGAGAAAGCACACCTTTCTCCTGACCACAGCACGGGGAAGCCTCTGGGTATGTTGCTTTTGCTTTCCTGTTTTTGTATAAAGCCCTGTGTTTTTGCAGAACCTTCCTCTGTCTGGTAACTCCCTTTCTCCTTGTTGATTATGTGAAGAGTTCCCTCCTTTTGGCTCTGAGAGGCATCGTGAGCTGCTGTTAAAGGACAGTCCTCTTCTCTCTTCCTTTTTACCCTCTTGTCTTCAGCGGCATGTAGAGTTGGGATGTTAGCCTGTATTCTGACAGACTTCCATGCACGGTGGGAAACCTTCTCCTGAGCACCATTAGAGATCTGTGTTTCATATTCACCCTCTAGTTCTGTGTATTCAGTGAGCCAGACATGTTCAGGCCTGCCAAGACGTGTGAATTTGGCTCAGCTCTGCATGTGCTTTCCTGGCCGCGCCTCTGGGTTCTGTGATAAACAGAGATCTTGCCTCCCGTGTGTGATGGGGTTGCCATTAGAGTGGGTTGGAGTCACTTGGTAAATATGGAAAGTGAAGTAGCTTAGCTCCCAGATTTCCATGGCAACCCCCAGAACAAGTACAATATCACCAAAATTATTCTGCGGCTTTCCTTTTTTAGTTGCAGTGATTTGGTTGCAGACTCATGTTTTTCCACTCTTGATTTGTACAAAAAACAAAAACTCGGCCCGCTGTCATCAGTACTTTGGTTTCAAGGACATTAGTGCTGCCTCTGAAGCACCTGAGAAATTCAGTCACACAAAACTACCTCTTTCTGTTCCAGCAGAATACATTTTTGATTTGTGTGTTTTTCCTTTCTGCTTATTACTTATTTTATAACAATTTGTGGAGCTTCAGGACAAACAACCTGTGAGCGAGGCTCACGCTGACCTCACGGGCCACTCGAATGGATGCGTGGTGGCCGGACAGCATGTCCCTGCCCTTGAGTGGTTTGCATCCTTCAGGACCATGTCGACATTCCGCTGGTCACTCCGTGTAGAACGTATGTTCGCAAAGGCATTACCAATACTTGTTTACAATTGTTTGGGGATTTATTTTATTACATCACTTCCTTGTTTCTGCGCTGTTGTTTTCTGTGACTGATATAAAGAGAGATTCTTATTGACAAAACATGTTTGAGGCAGGCAAGCATTCTCTCTGACTTCAGTCAGTTTAGGAATATTCCTGAATTGGGGACCTGCTTTCTCTTCTTGTCATTTAAACGGTTCTCTGTGATTGTGTTGACTTGACTCATGTCTGGTCATGGTTTTTCTTTTGAAGCCCCCTAGCTTAAAATTTTTTTCCCTTCAGCAACGTAATTGCCATCAGTCCTTCTTATACCTTCTGATGAGGATACCAGAGCTGGATTGAATCATCAGTGACTCAGGGAAGACCAACTCCGTTATTTGAAGGATTTGGTTAATTTTTTTTCTTTTTTTAAAGTGTCTTAAGCTGCCTGTTCCTGTGTTTCTCTGTCAGGGGCAAGTATTCACTTGCCCCAGAACAAAAAAATTCTTCTGTTTGGGGTGACAATATTGAATCATTTGCTCTTTATTTCTCAATTCATTCCAAATGCTTTAGACTTTGTCTTGGTATCATTTGCCATATCCACTAAGACATTTGATTTTACTCTTTCTTTGGAATAATCCTTACCTTCCTACTCACTCTCAGAAAGATTGGCAGCATTCCAACTAAGATCTTCCACCTAGAAGTTCTCAGTCTCATTATCGGTAGTCTACAGATGAGACTTACCTACTAAAAACTGTAGTTGTTTGTAGTCAGGTAGTATCAGGTTTCTAGCTTCCCTTGTCATGTGGCCCAATGAGGGATACCAGTAGTGTTTGCCTCTTAGTATGCATATTTGGCTATTTTGGCTGTTAAGCTATGAAATCTTATGAAAAAATTTTAATACTCCCTTTCCTAATGGATAATAAGGGAGAAAAGGAATGTCCTGGTAATATTTTAGAAAGATTAATATACTTTAGCAAGATATTATTTTTAGTTTGTAGAATCACAGCCCTCTCATGGACAAGTAAATATAATCACAGGAGAAATATGAGCTATAGTTATACTCTTTATTTCCTAAGAATTCAGAGAATTATGTCATGCAAACCTGTTCCTTTAAGTTTCTCAAACTAGAGTTAATAAAACTAATTCTATCTTCTCCCATACGAAGCAAAAAATGTCTCTGGTTAAAGCCCAAAGAAGTGTCATCTTCATCTTCACGTTGCTTCTTATATGGTGGTCTTGGGTTGTTCATAGTTTTTTAGGAATCTTTATAGGAATAGTTTATGAAAAGAAAAATTTGACTTATACTGGTTCATACTGATAAATGGCATAACCATTCTCTCAGTGATTCCCCCTAGTTATGTAATGCCAGTGTTGTTTTTCTTCCTCTTAGCATATTCCCAACTACAGGCCCTGTTAGTCCTCCTACATCTTGGCTCAGGGTTTCTCTTTCTTTGTTGCTGTTTCTGTTTGAAACTTCTCTTAAAATATGAAGAGTTTTAAATTTCAACTTTGTAATCTACTTCTTTCAAAATCTACTTTGAGTTCAGGAATCTCCCAGTAGCCCCATAGGATTTTTTTTCTCTCCCATGGGGCTCTACCTAGGGCATTAAGGATTTAGAGGTTTGTCTATATTTAACATGAAGCTTACTCTAGCATCACTTCACAAGCATTTTTATTTTTACAGACATGACGAATGCAAAGGGAAAAGTATTTTTATGACACATTACCCCTTTATTGCCTAAAGAGACCTGAGTTCAAATGTTGGCCTTTAAAGTATCATCCCAGGGACTCCTGTTTGTCCTCTTAGGGATCTAGCATACCTCTGATTCATTTCAAAAAAGTCTGGTGAGAATTAACCAAGATAGGATATTTAAGTGAGTTAATTGCCAAAAACTTCCATTGCTTTCAGTATGTTGTCTCTGTAATGAATGGGGAACAGGAATGATGTTCCAGGTCTATAATATTTTGCTACAGTGATAGTATTTGTACCATGTCGCTAAATCATCCCCAAAATGCTTTTCAATGTATGGTTCCAAGTTTTTAAAGATAAGAAGAAACAGAAAGCTCTTTTTTTTTTTTTTTTTTTGAGCAGTACTCTGAAGTTTACGAAATACATTCCTGCATATGATCCTACTTGATCCTCATGACAGCTCCAAGAGCCATATAAGGCAGTTCTCCTTCTCCCCATTTAATAGATTCATCAACCAAGAATCTGAGATCAAGTGGAAATTGACTGAGGCCACATAGCCAATCATGGGTGGAGTCTTGAGGAGAACTCAGTATTCTCTCTCTGGACTTGGTGGTATTCTCTAAGCATCAGTATGACTGCTTAGACCATGGACTTGGTTTTTGTTTACATGCAGGCTTCTCTGTAGCCTATTACAGATCTATTTATCAAAGAATTAGCTTGAAGTTCAACATCAAATACATGGAACAACATAAAAGGGTGTGTCTGGGGCAGGAGTCAGGAATTTAGACTTGTCAAGTCAGGAGGAAGTTGGTGGCCAAATAGTAGATATTCTATGGTGAAGCACTGTATAATTGGAGGTAGGACATACCCTGATCAGTTAAGGCAATATTAGAGGCAGGAGTTTCAGAATAAAAGGTGTCATAGAAGCCAAGTGATAAGGTGAAGGCTGCTCTGTGACACATCTGATAGTACCATGGTAGGGCCACTCTTAGGAAAAATGCGGGCTTAAAGGGGAGGTATATACTTTAAGATGAGAGAGTTTTTTGCTCTAGAGTTTGAAGTCACCTATTCTCCCTTAACTCTTCCTTTCTACTTTTAGTTCTTATCCTTTTCTGTGTCCTTCCTTCAGCTTCAGCGGGATCAGGGATCTCAGTACGATCTTGTTGTTAGTACATTTTCGTGTGTATCAGAACAGACCATCCTTTTGTAATTATATTAATGTGGGGCTTGTGACTTTTTTTCCCCACAGAGGAACAAAGGAACAGCATCATCAACTCCAGTTTGGAATCTGTCTCATCAAATCCAAACAGCATCCTTAATTCCAGCAGCAGCTTACAACCCACCATGAATTCCAGTGACCCAGATCTGGATGTGGTCAAACCTACCCGACCTAACTCACTGTAAGTATGATGTCCCAATGCCCATCACACAAGGGCTTTGGTCAGCCATTCTGTCCAGAACTTGCTCTCTGGCTTCATCTGACTTTGAGCTATTGTTCTACAAACATTATTTAAACCTTCTCCCTAAACTTGGAGCTTGGCTAGTTTGTTGTGGGTTTTTTAAGCATCATCATCTCAAAGGGAAGTCATTATTCTTAACATACTGCTTCTTATTCTTGGTGATCTTTGATTTATCATCCTGCTGAGATGGTTTTGGTGATAGCTATGCTGGCTGCTGGGCATGAAAAGCAATTTCTTTTAGTTTTACAAACACCCAGGGACTGCAGTCGTTCAGTAGATCAGTAGCCAAGTCTGTTTCACTCCTCATGTTGTCTCAGTTTCCTTTCCCCAACTGTGCTGGGATGTTCAATGCTACCTTCATGTCCATTTCCTTAAAGAAGAGCCCCCAGTTGCCCTCTGTGTCTTTACATCTTCAAACCTTAACATGACTGGGATCGCTTACCAAACACTAGAAAAAAGAAGAACCCTTCTTGCTTTGCATTTAGGCATTGTGCACCCATAGTCAAGACAGTCTGTCTTGGGAGTTGTTGTCTAATCCCCCACAGAAACTAGATCTCCTCTGCTAGCACCAGAAAGTTCTCCCTTGTGGTTTCATCCCACACTGCTTAGCATGCTTCTTCAGACCACCCCATAAATCTTGTCAAGTAGAGCCTTTGCAGAAAGAATGTGAGGCCACGACCAGAACAGTTGACTCTCAGGCTACAATTACATAAGACACAAGAAAAACAGAGTTGACTCTGCTTTTCTCTAGTGAAAATAGTCTTAGGTTCAGCCACAGACCGTCTTCAGGGCAGTTGTTTCACTTAGTGAGACACCAGCATGAGGGTGAGATACTGAGATGTCAGCAACATCTTCCTGCTCCTCTGCGTGCTGTGGTTGCATGATCACACCCTGCTATTCAATCTCTTTAAGATATTTACAGATCTGCAAAATGGGTGCAATAGTTTTTGCCTTAGAAGACACTAAGGAATAGTATACTAAGGGATATTAAATGCTTGTGAGGAAAATGACTCCAAAATGCACCTAAGAGGTACTTATAATGAAACTATAACTACAGTGTGGGAATAAATCCTAAACTGAGAAAATTATCTCGTCTTTTAGTTGCTGGCAGCTTTAAATTGTACCAACATTCAGGAAGTTAATTATTTGCCTGTTGTTTGGTAGATAGTGTTGTTTGTTCACTAAGAACTGGACCTGTGCCTCAAAATATCAGAATAACTGAGTGTCTTCTGCTTATAAGCAGTGTGTCTCCACTGGTGCTCCATGGCTAGGCTGGCCTGTGGGGCCTCCCGCCTTGAGGTGCAGCTTTCTCAGGCTCTTCTATACCTGCTTTCTTAGATTTTAAGGAGATCTTATTTTCCTTTTTTCCTCCAGCTGGTTTAAATCTCTGTCCCTAGCAGTTGCTGAAGTTATTTCTTGCTCAACATGAGCAAGGTTGAATTTCTAGCCCCGGATGCTTCACATCCCCTGACTTGAGCCAAACAGGGGTCTTTAATCTTTCTTTCCAGCTACTGGTAGCTGTGGGCCCCTGAGTCACTGCTGAGTACAGTGTGTACAAAGATGTTGCTTTAGCAGCTGAGTAGAAGTGGGGTGGGGATTGTTTTTTAAACAGGTCCTGGAAGATGAGGCTTAGGGTTTTTTATTCTTCAGCTGTCTAGATGTGATTTGTTTTTCATAACATACTGGGAATCATTCTACTTCATGCCATGCAGGGAGGCTGTTCCCTGCCTCGTGCGGATTTGAAGGTCTTTCCCAGGGAAGGAAGGGTGCTGCCAGGAACAGTTCTACTTAATTGTCTCTGGAGGAGGATTGAAAGTAGTCGTGTGGGTGTGTTTCCAACAAGACTGCTGTTCTTCCAGGCCAGCTGAGTCTCTTACTGATACCTGTGAGTCTTGAAGTCACAGCCAATACCACCACTGATACCAGCAGCAGCTGCGGCCCTGACAAGAGCCACGCCAAAGCCCTGTAATCTCTGCAGACAAGCTTGCTGCTATTGCTCAACCTGAGCAGTGAGATGATGTTCCTGGTTCCTGCCTCCCCAGTATTTTCTGCCTGGGGTGGAAGTTGGTCAGTCTTGGCAAATAGAAGCCATGGTACTTCCCTGAGTAAAGGAATTCTGGGAGTCTGTCAGCACAGAGACATGCCACAGTGCTCAGGCTCAATTACAAGCAACTGAGACTACATGGGGCTCCACCTTGGTTCTGAACTTTTTTCTTCCCACCATCACTCAATGTAGCAGACGCAAATGAAAAACATGAGCAGGGGGTGGGAGGACTGCCATGAGTTTGACTATTAACTCGGCATAAGGTAGGAAACCAGTCACTAGAAAATTATTTGTTTGATGTATTTCACTCATTTTTTCACTATTTATATAATGACTGGGATGATCATTATGACCATGTAGAAATCATAGTGAAAGAAATGTTTGTTATTCATGATAAAATGACATTTGCTGTATCACTGGTGTATCTTCCCTAATTCTCCAAGGAGATGAGGGCCCTCTTATTTACATGAGCAGAATGCTTAATTGAGCATCAAAATTACAGATGCCACTATTCTACTTATACCAGGGCAAGACAGCTGGATTGAAATCTTTGGCAGGTTCTCCACTAGACTTCTGAAGTAGTCTTCTCTCCTGAAGATCAGAGGACAGTTGGTAAACCAGGACCAAAGCTCACTGTGTCTGAAATTGTCAGCAAGTCTGACTGAACCTATTTTGTACCCAGATCCATTCTAAGCTCCCTAGGGCAAACCAGAAAAAGAGGATTCCCATCTTCCCCAATTTACTGTCTAGCTAAGAAGGAAAGACAGTGACATATGGCAATGTTAAATGGAACTTTTATGTCTTAAGTATGCTTTTTTGAGTTGGAGTCTCACTCTGTCGTCCAGGCTGGAGTGTAATGGCATGCTCACGGCCACCCCAGCAGCGACCTGCTGGGCTCCAGTGATCCTTCTGTCTCAGCCTTCCAAGTAGCCGGAACTATAGGCACCTGCTACCGCACCTGGCTAACTTTTTATTAACTGTAGAGCTGAGGGCTCGCCAAGTTGCCCAGGCTGGTCTCAAACCCGCGGGCTCGGACAATCCACTCACGTCAGCCTCCCAAAGTGCTGGGATTACAGGCCGAGTCACCAAGCCTGGTCTTAAGTATATTTTGGGTTCAGCAACTCTTAGCTGAATATCTGGTGAGCACACACACCAGGTCAGAGTATTGGGAAAGGTGGGGAGGGAGTGTGAGGTGTGTGTTAGGAAATACTTAGATGAATGAATGAAGAGCATTCCAGTTTAGAGGGGTGAAGGAAGCAGAGATGATCCAGGATGCTCCACATTATATGTCATCAGGAAAATGCAATCTAAAGCAACTATAAGATACCACTACACGTCTATGAGAATGGCCAGCATCCCAGAACACTGAGAATACCAAATGTTGATGAGGGTGTGGAGCAAAAGGATCTCTGACTTATTTCTGCTGGTAATGCAAAATGGTATGGCCATTTTTGAAGACAATTTGGTGGTTACTTATAAAACTAAACATATTTTTACCATACAGTTCAGTAGTCATGTTCTTTGCTATTTACCCAGATGAGTTGAAAGGTATGTCCATACAAAATCCTGCACATGGATTTTTAATTTAGTATTATTCATAATTTCCAAGACTTGGGAAGCAACCCAGATGTCCATCAGTAGGCATGAATGGATAAAAAAAATTGTGGTACAACCAGACAAAGGAATATTATTCACTGATAAAAGGAAATGAACTATTTAGCCATGAAAAGACATGGAAGATCCAAACCGTAGGTTGCATATTGCTAAGTGAGAGAAGCCAGTCTGAAAAGACTGCAAATACCATATGATACCAACTATATGTGTTTCTGGAAAATGCAAATTTATGGAGTCAGTAAAAAGATCAGTTGTTGCCAGGGACTCAGAGGGAGAGGAGGAAAGATGAATAGTTGGAGCACAGGGCATTTTTAGGGTAGTGAGACTGTTCTGCATGATACTGTAATGGTTGATACACAGAGCACTATGCATTTGTCAAAACCCATAAAGCACAAAAAGTGAATACTAGTGTAAACTATGGTCTTCAATTAATAATATTGATATTGATATTGGTTCATGAGTTGTAACAAACATACCACACTTATGCAAGATGTTAATATGAGGAAACTTGAGGGTGGGGTTCAAGGGAGTATATGAAAACTCTTATTTTGTGTAATTTTTCTGTAAATCTAAAACTGCTCTAAAAGTAAAATTTATTAATATATTTTTTACAGTCCAGATTTCCAGCTTCTTTTGAAAAGTTAGAAGATGTGGCTACACTAAGCCCCATGTGTTACTTGGTAGCAGATTGCTCTCCAATCCCTATCTTCTCACAGCTGGCCTGCTTTACTCTTTTATATCTTCTCCCTGTAGGTGTGTAGTAGCTTGTAAATGATTATAGAATCTTTGTAATCTCTTCTGTTAAGAGTTGGAGACTTTGATTGTGGGGCTGCCCTTTACCCTTTGACTTACTTTGGCCAATAGAATGTGGTAAAAGTGACAGCATGTGACTTCCAAGCTCAGGCTACAATGACTCGCAGCAGCTTCTCTCATCCTTTTGAACCAGCCACCATATAAAGAAGCCAATGTAGCCTCCTTAAAGATGAAAGACCACTAGAGAGATGCCCAGCTGTCTCAGCCAAACTCGGTACCTGGGCTTCCAATCAGTTGGATGCAGCCATGTGAGTTAGTTCAGGCAAGACCAACAGAAAAGCTGCCCAATTAACCCATAGATTCATGACAAATATTATATTATGATTTTTTCAAGCTACTGAGTTTAGGGGGTTTATTTTGCCACATTAGTTAACTGAAACAAGGCCTATGAGTTTGTGTCCTCCGAGTCATGGGCGTCTGCCTTGGGGTGGAGCTGAGCTGCCTGAGTGAGGTAGAAAAGTCTGCAAGT